TTTTTTTATTTAATATTAAGATAAAATACAAAGTTAAAAAAATTCCAAAAATATATGACTCATACTGTATATATTTTTTACAACAGATGCAATCAAAATTAGATCTAGTAGGTTAGATGATTTAAACTAGTAATAGGATATTCACTTTTTATGTAAGTTCTATCTATTGTGCAAACTATCCATTTGATGTTTGAAGTTATATATAACTGGATATATCAAAATTATATAACAGATAAACAATATTAGCTAGTAATAGTTCAACAATTTAATGTTAATAAAATGTCTTGCATCTAATGCCTATTTATAACTTAAAAAAAATATTTTTTTTTGTATATGCTCGTTATTTTATCCAACTTTTAATAATTTGTATTTAAAAGATTATCACGTACGTCACATGACTAAAATATATGTGGATTTAAAAACGTGTTTTATGTCGGCAAAACATTTCTTCGTCAACCATCCGTGAATCGATTGTCCGCATTACCAACAATGGATACAAATCCAGAAGAAATTAAATCCGAACGTTTGGTTTTAAATAAATTTATATTATACGAAACAAAAACGGTAAATATTTTATGTAGCCTTGAATTCTTTAGATATTATGTTCTAATGTAATCATAGAATTATTATATTGTTGGATCTAACCAAAGTGACAATAGGTTTCGTATTCTGAAGATTGACCGAACTTCTCCTACAGAACTCAATGTGATTGAAGATGACGTTATATATTCAAAGCAGGAAATTAATGATATATTGGCTGTCCTTGAAGAAGGAAACAGAATATCAGGAGGATTGAAAAATATCGTGACGGCATATGGCATTGTGGGTATGTTAATCGAGATTCTTTATCGTCTGTCTATTTATTTCTTTTTGTAATATTTTTCACAATAATGAACATCGATTCTGCATCATTAGGATTTATCCGCTTTACAGAAGGATATTACATTTCACTGATTACCAAAAGGAGCGCGGTTGCCTTAATTGGCGGTCATTACATATATCATATTGATGAAACTCTTCTTCGATCAATTGGACCACAAAGTAAGCCCGAGAAGAATTCGGATGAATATAAGTAAGCAACTAAGTTTCTTTCCGGTTTATGTTCATAAATACAAGTTACTAAAATACTTTACTCGTTCTATAGATACATCAACATATTTAACAATGTTGACTTAACAAAGAATTTTTACTTTAGTTACACTTATGATATTACTCACACGCTTCAATACAATATGACCCGACCGCCAAATCGTAGAAATTTTTCGTACAATGAAATGTTTGTATGGAATCACTATTTGTTGGAAACGGGCTTTCGAAGTTTGAAAAACAATTCCGATTGGATTTTGCCGATTATCCATGGCTTTGTAGATCAGTCAAGTGGGTAAAGTTTACTGGACTTTGGGATCTTTAAAATTTAGAATTTAAATTAATTGTTTGTCATTTTTTTACGCAGAAATATCTATTTTTGGAAGGAACATTTTTGTCACGCTGATTGCACGAAGATCTCGTTATTTTGCAGGCGCACGTTTTTTAAAACGCGGTGTCAATGATCAAGTAAGCGTTGAAATTCGTTTTAAACACACCCGTTCTTAATTTCTTCAAAATGAGACATCCCAATTAAATATATTTACCATCTTGAAAAATCCTTTAGGGTTATGTGGCCAATGATGTGGAAACAGAACAGATAGTATCTGAGATGAGCACGACATCATTTCATTCTGGAACGCGGCTTTACGACAATCCTCACTATACATCATATGTACAACATCGAGGGTCGATTCCTCTTTTTTGGTCACAAGATACTAACATGTCTCCAAAGCCTCCTATAATAAGTATGCGACAAATTATCAGATCATCAAATCGAATCTGCTTTACATTGTAATCAAACTTGCTGCTTTTTTAGTTAACTTTCGAGACCCATTTTATGCCGCTGCTGCATTACATTATGATAATATGTTCAAACGTTATGGCGCGCCTATTATTGTGTTGAACTTGATTAAGGTTATTATTTATTTATTTTTTAAAAATAAAAAAAAATAAAATAAAATAGTCAATCTACATTCAGGTTTCGTGAAATAACATTCAAATATCATATTTTATGCTTATAAGACAAAAGAAAAGAATCCTCGAGAATCTATATTAGGCGATGAGTTTGCGGAAGCCATGAAATACCTGATGCAATTCCTACCTGAAAAGTGTCTTAAATACCAAGCTTGGGACATGTCTAAAGCCAGGAAAAGGTAATCTTCATTATATATACAGATGCGTAAATAATTTATTGAAGAGTTAAAAAAAGAATCCTAAAGAAAATATTTTGTTTACAGTGATGTTGATGTTATGGAACTAATGGAAGGGTTTGCCGAAGAATACTTGGTCGCCACTGGTTTTTTTCACAGTGGACCTGAAGCTTACATTAACATCTTAAAAAGAGAAGAAAAGTATGTTAGCCATGCTTGTTGATAGCGTTATTCTTATATATTAGCTACTAAATTGATATCTAATTTAAGTCAAGGAAAACCTCAAACTCGCCGTATGTCGCTCCGTCAGAACGGTGTGGTCAGGACGAATTGCATTGATTGTTTAGATCGTACTAATGCAGCTCAGTTGATGATTGGAAAGTGTGCACTGGGTCACCAGGTATTACAAAGGTTTATCCATTTTTCTGGCGGATAATTCGTCGGAAGATAGTTATAATGATTTTGAATGTTAGCTCTATGCATTGGGCATTATCGATAAACCACGGGTAGATGTAGATTCTGACGTGGTCAACATGTTAACGGATATGTATCACGACCATGGTGACACCATTGCATTCCAATATGGCGGTTCAAATTTGGTAAACACCATTGATTCTTATCGTAAAATCAATCAATGGAATAGTCATTCCAGAGATTTGATAGAGAATTTGAGAAGATATTACAATAATGCATTTGCAGGTATATGATTAATTTTTTTCGAGGTTCTCATATTAATATATTATTCGTCCTAATGTGATGTATATCTAAAATTATTATTTAGATGCCGATAAACAGGATGCGATCAATCTTTTCCTTGGTAATTTTGTGCCGCAGAAAGATCAATCAAATTTATGGGACCTACCAAGTGATTACTTTTTGCATAACGAAGATCCTCGTTTCAAAAGGCCACGAAGGAGGTTGGTTGATTTTCTAAATTGTATCTGGCTTTTATTATCGTCTGACATATGCATATTCTTGATCAAACTAGTTATATTAATTGGTGGACTAAAGATGCACTCTCACCAAGGGAAGATCAAGAACAAGATAGCGCCCGCTATAGGCTTGTGCCACGTTTGGCTCGCCAGTTTGATGATGAATGCGACCCTTTTTCAGGATATTGGATTGAATATTATCGACCCAGACTCTTCACCTCATTTGAGTATTTGTTTGCATTTAACATGAACAGTACCACCAAATATATTCCTACAGGGTAAAACACGTGTTGAAATGACCTTATCTTAACTATTGCCTCAAATACTAATAATATTTAAATATATATGTTGCAGTGCGGAGCTTGAAACATACGATTATAGCCCGTTCACCGTTCGAGTCCCACAAGCTACTCGGTACTATCTGTTTGCAAAAAAATTCTATCGAATAGGTATAATATGATTGATATTTAATAACGAAATAATTTTATTTACAAAAAACGACAGGTTAATGAATATTGGTGGTGTTAAGAAATGGGTTGTGCCGAACAAACCAAAAGAAGAGGTTCAAGTTGAGGTGAAAGAGAAGGAAAAGGAGAAAACGAAAAAAGAAAAGGATTCTCCTTCTGTAATGGAGTCAATTACTATGAAGAGCTTAAACCCATCGGTTTCTTCCAATGAGAAAAAAGAATATGAACAGTGATTATTATAATTTATTGAATCATGAAATTTCATCATTTTTTTATGTTGATTGCTTTTAACACTAATTTCTAAAAATGTTTTCTTCTAGATATATCACCCAAAATAAGGATTTGGTTCTAACATCTACACCTATTGGAGATAATGATCCAGCGCTTACGTGTCACTCCGAATATCCTTGTTATGCAGAATACGTACGCCGAGCAAATCTACCGAATCCGATAACGGACATAAGAGTGCAGACAAAAGACGAAATAGTTTATGAAGATTGTCTTGATATACCTAAGAAATATGCAATGATGCAAGCCGTAGGTTCAAGTCAACCGGGCGGTGCAAAAAGTCGGTACCAAGCTTATGAAGTATGGCTTAAAACCGGAAAACTGATGAGCAATAATAGATCTTCGGAATCAAGATTGAAGACTAGTGACAGGAGCCTAAAGAATGAATCGTATAGAAAGAAAATTAAGGAGAACCAAATCAAAGAGTGATTTTATGAGGGTGAGGAATGACTAAATTTGAGATATTCTGTTCTCTCAAATTCAACTATATTGATATAAGTATATATATTTATTTGAAAACATGTCTGCATTCAACTTCAATTGATTGTAAATTCACTGCTTGTCTTATTTTATAATCATGTACTATTATTGAGGTAGCATTAAATCTATGGCTATTTATTGTGCGTCATATTTCAAATAGAAACATACCCCTTAACATCTTTTTAAATTGTTTCACTTTCAAGCTTTCTTTCTACCTAGTGTTTTCTGTATACCGATGCAAGATAAATAAAATTACCCGCACTTATACATTGAGCAGTAATCATTTTTATAATCTGCATTATCTAACATTGGGACTATTGATTTCTACTGTTACCAAATAAATAAAGATATTCATTACTTTTTAATCATATTCTTAACATATTAAAATAAAGCTAATTTAAGTTTGCCTTTCACTGAAATCTTATATTACAAATGACTGCATGTGTTCAAAAGATTATATATCTTTATATTTAAGTCAAAGGGACTGTTTTAATCAATATATATTTAATAGATGATGATGATATTAGATATTATTACTGATAATATTTATACCATCAAATTTAGGTTTCAAAGCATATCAAAATGACTTGAATAATAATAAAGAATCCAACTGCAGAAACAAAGTATCCTATTATCAATTTTACAATCCTGACCCGTTGGCCATCTACGTGCTCTCCAAGACTTCGGCGCAACTGCATAAAGTGAAAACTATATAATTACTCACTAAGGTTATTTTTTAGGCTATCCGCGCGCTCAAAATTTAAATTACAACTTCGTAACCGTTTTTTTTTTATTATTTATATTAGGTGATGCTAAGAATGTGAAAAGGGAATAGAAGATGTAAAAAAAATTTTTTTTTAAAAAAAAAAAAAAAAAGAAAAAAAAATTTGTGTAATACTAAAAATATTCATTATTTTATAGTACAATGAAAGTATTAATAGGAAAAGGTTCGTTGGTTTTACAAAAAGAAAATAAAGGAATGGAATAAATAAAATTTCAGTACATATTTCTATGTGAATAGGGATAAATTAAAAAAACTACTAAAAATAAAAATAAAATTATTCGACCCGTAATATATATTTTTTTAATATAGTATATAATTTGTCCATAAATCCATTTTTCCAGCGGGTCCTCTTTTGGTGATTTTTGATATTCTTTTTTTATTTAAAAATTTTCTATATAAATCGTTTTTAATTTCGAGACTTTCATATTTCTCTGTAAGGTAATCAATCAATCAGCTGTCCGACGACGTCAAACTAATGTCAAATTTTTAAAGCGTCATATTATGTCCTCAACAGTCTCAAATTGTCCTATGTTCCTTTGTGCTGCTACTTTTTGAACTTCGTCCAGTGCCGCCATCATTTCATCAAATTCCTCCATTCCTGGCGGTGTCTGTGAATCTTCGTTTTTTCCGCCAGGTAATCTACTCCATCGCGAATCAATAAATTCGCCGCCACTCAAATTTGACTCTTGATGTGATATACCCCATTGAGATTTAAGCATATCCAATTCATTTGTTAAGGAACTGATATCGTTGGAACTACGTGGGCTGGAATCCCTTATGTCGACTTCGATCTCTCGATATGTATCAACTGCGTGTTCCATTTGATCCAGTAAAATTGTAATCTTATTTTCGGACTCCTTCAGTTTCTGTTCCAATTCATTATTCTCTTTCTCAAGCTTATCATTCGCAGTTCGATATTCAGCGAGTTCTCGATCAAGCACTGCACGTTGCTCATCCCACTTCTTCCGATCAATGATTCCGACACCTGTAGAACCATCCTGATTATATAAAGCAACTGTTTGTTCTAATTCTAACCGAGTGTTTTTCAATGCTTCCTCTGAATTTTGCAACCTTTCTTTCAATTGAATTTCCAATTTCCTTAGCGAATCACTTTCCTTTCTCAATGTTTCATACTCTTTACGTAAAACATCATATTCTTGATCTACCATATTTTTCTCTTCTTGCGCGCGTTCCAACTGTCTCTTCAATTCTTCAATTTGTTGTTCCAATTGTTCTTTTTCTTCTGCGAATTTTACTCGTTGTTCCTCTAGTTGTTGGTTCGCGTATTCCTGAAGCTGGGATTCTCGATAACCATTACGAACAGAATTATTATTTTCAGCTTCGGCAAGGCTTTCTTCCAATTGTTCGTTACGTTCTTGTGCAATGGTCAATTTCTCGGTCAATTTAACAACATCCTTTTTGCTCTTCGTCAACTCCTCTTTCATTCTCCTCAACATTTTTTCTGTGCCCTTAACATAATGCACTGCGGTCTGATAGTCTTTTTCAACTTGATGTAGCCTTGCTCTTACCTCTTCAAGTTCCTTGGCCTTCTGTTCCGCAATTCTTTGGTCTTCATCATAATCATTGCCGCTAATAGTTATATCCGGTGTAGTGTGTATCGAACCAGGATTATTGTTACTGGTACGTCCTAATTCTTCTTCTAGTACTTTATTCTTACTCTCAGCATCCTTAACTTTTCGCAATGCATCTTGATATCTTTGATTAGATGTCTTGAGTTGGTTCTTGGCTTGATTGTGGATAGACTCGAGTTCGACGCAACGTGATTCCAATTCTTTAATTCGGGAACTCTTACCACTATCTTCCAATATTCCCTTATCTGACATCACTTCGCGCATCATACCGATTTTAACCTCGGCATTTTCGAGGGCACGCGTCTTTTCTTCCAAGAGACGTTCTTTTTCGCGTAATCGCTCCTTAGTTCTGGCAGTATCATCTGAAGCTTCAATTAACCGTCGTTGAAGCGCGGCGGTATCTGAGCGAACCTTCATAGCAGCTCCCTCCATTTGTGAAATTTTGATCATTGCATCGGCATATGAGTTAGAGGCTTCTTGTGCGACTTTTTGACTCTCCGCTTGGGAACTTTTCAGTGCTGCAATTTCCTGTTCAAGCTGAGCAATCTTCTCGGCTGCCTCAGATGAACCTCCTTCATTACGAGAGGTATTTAAAAGTTCCGTCATCCCTTCTTGCATCATGGCACGAACACTATCTGCCTCTTTCTGTGCCTTTCCTAATAATCTTTCTAATTCTTTTGCTCTCGACTGTGCACGTTCTAAATCGCGCATTTTAAGATCTAATTCAGTGCGTAAAGCAGCTTCCTCTTTCTCCAGAGCAACAATATCCTGACGAGCCTCTCTCCATAATGCCTCTGCATCAACCGTTCGTTCATTAGCAGCATTAAGAGCTTCATTAGCTTTTTCAAGCGCCCGTTGGTGTTGTTCCAATGATTGTTGAAGCTTCACGATTTGACTACGAGAGCCTTCTGAACCTGATTTAAATTGTGCAAGCTCCGATGAAATTTCAACCATTTTAACATTGTTCTCTCTCAATTGGGATTCGGCAGCGGTCGCTCGAGAATGTAGTGTGGCCAGCTCAGCCAGAGCTCGTGCATGCGCCTCTTCGGCTTCTTCAGCCCGTGCTGTGGCTGTTTTCGCCCTTTCTTCGGCGGTCTCCCGAGAACTCTTGTCATGAGTTGAAGATTGTTGATATTGAATTAGTTTTGTTTGTAATAACTCTTTTTCGGTGAGCGCTTGAGTCAAACGTTTTTCCAAGTCCGCGGCGCGTGCAACCTCAATACTGGCAAGTTCCGTTTCAGATGCATTTGTCAGAGCAGTGAGCTTGGCCTTGAAATATGCGGCTTCCTGAAGAGCGGCTGTACGGGCTCGTTCTGCATCTGTTATCTTTTGCGAAGCAGACTGAGCTTGGCTGGCGATCATTGCCTGAATAAAGAAGATCGAGAGTCAGATGTGGTAGGGGGAATCCGTGAATATGATGTTATAAAAAATTACCTTTGCCTTTCGTAACTCATGTTTCAACTGAACAACTGCTAGCATCACTTTCTGCTTATCAGAGCCATTCTCCCCAATATCCATATATTTTTCCAAGTCAATACCTTCTGGGATGTTACTAGACCTATCTGGTTCTGGAACATATCCTGCTTGCCTAGCTAGAGATAGTTCAGCTTTTAACCACGTTTCACGTTTCTTAAATTTGGCTATCTGTATGTCACGCTGTTGGATTTCTCGTATGAGTTTATCACGATCAACGTTAGACACCGGAGCCGGAAAATGATCAATGGTGTCAAAAGATTGTGATGAGTGGCTATTAGAACTCATCGCGGATGACGGCGGCGACGTTGCACCATCACCATACGGCAACTGACTTGTGTTAATCATTAATGGCGCTTTATCTGTGTTTTGTACAATATTATTATTATTAAAATTTTGTTGAATATCTTGATTGACCGGGGAAGCGCTAGAACCGCTGGAATTATTGAAATTATTGGTGATAGGAGGTTTTGGAGCTTGCCTAGGGTTAGTAAAATCTCCAACAACACCCATCTGCATTGGTACTATAGGTTTCTTTTCCATTTGACCAAACGCACGTGCACGAGGATCTTCTACCTCACGAAGTTGATCGAGACTTTGTTGTGTACGAATTGGACGGTTACTTGAAGGGGAGGGAGTGTTTTCGCGGAGATTGTCTATACTAGATTTTTGAGTAAATGAGTATGAAGTTTGTTGCGGTGAATCTGCGGCGTCTCTTTCCATGTGACGTAATTGCTCGGGAGGATTTCCCCTAATATTCTCGGGCGTCGAGTTTTCTATGTATCCATATTGTTCCGGACTATAATTCATATTAATATTCATATTCATATTCTTCGATTGCATATTAAAGTCATTTTGTGAGTATTTTGGATAGTCCTGTCCCCATTGATTCATTTGTACACCGGCTAATTGATTATTGTTCATTCCATAGGGCGGAGAGCCTTGTGGGCCAATTGTATCAGGTGTCTCGGGCATTACACGCGGCGATGATGCTTGATTATAATCTTGAATTGGTCTTGGAAAACCCATCCCACTATTATCCGATGACGCGCCAAATCCTCGAAAGTCTTCAGACCCAGAGGTTGGTTGACGACGGTAGAGTGCGTCATCCTCATATGCCAACTGTCCATTAGGTGTCATCGAATTTTGCTTAATAGCTGGAACAGACTGTTTTGAACGATTGACATCGAAAGAAGAGTTATTAAATTGACTCGTAGGAGATGATTGTTGGCGAGAATACGGAGTCGGTGATGTATATCCATTATTTTGAAATTGTTGGGGCACTGATCTCGATGGAGACTGTGGTTTTTGTTGTGTTTGTTGAGGTACCCGTCCAGGAGTTTGATTTGCGGGAGGATATTTTATTTTTGCTAAACATTCCAAATCAAAAAAATTAACAATCACTCATTAGTATTAATCTCCAGATTCTGTTTTTTCCTCTTATAAAATAATATCCACATACAGGTATCCAGCATGCTGATCGTGCCATCATCGTCGGGTTTAGAAGGTAGCATGCTATCACCTCCAAACATCAAAATCCTCTCACGGGCCGAAGACAAGGTATGACGAAATCGAGGGTTCGGTAAAATCATCTTCTGAAATATGTACCATCGCTGATCTAGCATTATTGTAAGTCCCAGGTTATTAAAATTCTATTTATTAGTTAAGGTATGGCAAGTGAAATGAAAAAACTCTTACTGCTTAGACCAAAAGCAGTCAGATCTCCTAATTCCTGTCCTTCCTCGTTAATACCACCGAAGATATATATCATATCGTCAACATTAATGGCACCGTGTTCATGTCTAGGAACAGGAATATAGCCCGTACACTGTAATCTAGTCCATGTATTGCTCGGTATATCGTAACACCATGTATCGTTATAAAATATATCTCCATTGGAACCACCAAAACTGGAATGTTAAGAAACCGAAGGATTCAATTAAAACAGTTATAATATAAATCAACATATGTCCGAATGACACGTACATATAAATTTTATCATTACAGGCACAAGCAATATGTCCATATCTTTCTGGCGGGGATTCGTTTTGTGGTACAATTATTTCCCACCGAGGACCATATGAATTAACTGGTGTCACAAATCAAATCTAAGATTAATCATTTGAAGGGTCTACAATCCAAAAACAAAAACAATAATTTAGAATCCAATATCACATACGTGACTTTATATCGAATGCCATCAGATCGTTTAAACAATATCCATTGACTTTTCCACCAAAAATATACATCTTGGATCCAATTACCGTTGCAGTGTGACCAAAACGTCCGCCACGTTTAGGGTTACTGCTTATCGGGTACCTGGTCCAATTCTTCGACACTTGAAATAAAAGATTAGGTCAATTAATTAACTTATTTAGTTTTGATAAAAAAAAAAAATCTTTATATATACCAGTATTAAGAACATAAATATTTTCATCGAGCCTTTCTTCTGAAGTAGCGGGTAACCCGCCAAAAACTAAATGAATGCAAAAATTTCTATCAAGTCAATTAATTTTGCGATAATAAATGCACATTAGTTAAGTAGAAAAGTTCTAAGCTTACCTATCATATTATTACCAATGTGGACATGGGTGTGTAAACTACGAGGAGGAGGGATATCGCCAGTTGCCATAAAAGCGATAGCATTAAGTGTATCTGGGTTTTAATCAGTAATTAATCAGTACGTCGCACAATTAATTGAAATCAATTTGGTAAACTTCAACTTGAGTAAAATTAAAAGATTTTTTGAACCCCTTCTTCGATGAGTCATATTTACTTACTGGTTTCCATGACATAAAGGTCATTCCTTGGTTGACCTCGAAAGATTCCACCAAAAATAAATATTTCGTTATTTATTGCATATTGGCTAGTAGAATGGCCATGTCTTGGAAAAATATTGGTGGATGAGTTTATTTTTCGTTGTGACCAAGGAAAAGCTTGATTATTGTGCTTTAATTTCGAGAAGATTTGCATGACTGATGTATA